TCCTTGTCTGCAGTGGTGGAAAGTAGATTTAGTTGATGGTAGCTTTGCAATCTACTGTTGCTGTTTTTGAAATGGAATTTCATCATGACAGATAGCAGCCATTAGGAATGAATTTGGATACCAGTGTTTTAGAGATTTGCATGACATTCCAAAAATGTGAGAAATTCAGGGTAGATATTATTGGTAGTTTATAAATGTTATCAAGGTGTTGGTTGTTGTCGTGTGGCCAAGTTGTTCAGTAGGAAGAGTTCTTAAAGCACAGCCGTAGTTTGTGGTAATAGATTCTACCTTAAAATTCTATTCCAAGGTGAAAGTTTGAGGAGAATCAAGACACTAACCTTTTCGTTTTGGATTATTTTTAAATAAGAAATTATTAAAATAGCTCAGTACTTTAACCTGAGTACCGGTAGATGTTTAGCCAAATTATTTTTACTTGTAGTTGAGTAAAATTTGACTATGAGTGTCAATGCTTTTATTCAAGTACTACTGTTGAGTACTTCATCCACTACTGCTTGTCTCTTTAGAGAACATCCTCCCGCTGTCAGCACAGCGAGGTGCTTGGTTTGATCAGAAGCTTCGTATCGTCAGTTAAGCTGCTGCCTAACAAGAGGAAGGGAAGCCTTTGGAGAGGAATGTTTTTATGGAGTCTGCGTTCAGGTCTGAAAGTCAAACTATGACCAGAAGAATATGTTAAAAGTTAAGCAGGGAAGAAAGGATCACAAGGTTTAAGGTAAAAAGATATTAGGCTAGTGGGGGCCTGGACAAAACCAATAAGGTTAAGCTCAATAGACGCCTTAGTTGTCTCCTGCTTGGTTTCAAGTTACAAAGACGTCTCATCATGCCTGTAACTTTCTAATGTCTCCCTTTAAACGCCATACCATCTCCACCAACATGTCAACAAACAATGTGGGGTGCGGATATTTGCTTTGCCTCCATATGCCAATCCACCACCTCCAGCGGCCAGGCGAAGACAGAGAACCTGGACCACAGTGCTGATCCGGATTGTGTCAGTCTGAAAGCCTCCATGTTTGAAAGCAAGTTATTACTGTTTGATATTTCCTTTCAATGAAATCTGCTTCTTCTGTGGCAAATCATCAATACAACAAGATGCTACATTTATTCTACAGTTGGGATGGTTGCATTTTCCAATTTTTTCTTTCAATTGTAACTTTTAACAGACCATGGGACCTGTTTTCAAAAATTAATTTTAATTGCATTGAGTCCATTGTAAATTGCAATCTGTTATATTGTCTATGGGGTCATGTTTCTTTCCTCTTTCAGTGGCCTTTAAGCTGTTATAGCCCACATGTCATATCACTAAGGATGTTGAGTCTCTGACCGGTTTTATCCAGCATTTTTTACAATTTATTTTACTCCTGTTCAGGTGTTGACACACACACTCATACATTAAACCCATTGATCCACCTAGACAAGGCATAAGGGAGACTGTAATTTACATGCAAAGTTTCAGTAATCTGGTGGAAATTGTTAATATCTAAGTAATAACAATAATGGGAAGTCAAAGTGTCATTGAAACACGAGTGGGTGTATCAATAAATAAATTTTAACACATGAACTGCACAAAAAAAAAAACAGCTGATAAGATACTGCCCTCTGCTGGATATTTGCATATTAGCATGTGTAATTAGTCCTAGGTACAGACAGCAGAAGTTAACAGGTTTATTTACTAAAGAGGACCTTGTTTGGAAAGAATCATCTAACTCAAAGATAGATTATTTAATTTTACCATCTATACTCTATAAAAATACTGGGTAAGAAAATAGTAATAAAAAGCAGGTTTGAAACACTAAACTGCACATTGCAATTTGCACATTCTAATATAGTAGTTGATAACTAATGAGATAGCAATTCTTAAGTTTTTCAATTATTAAAAGTGATCCAGTTGTGACTTCACTGCTGCAATATTGATCCAGAAAAATAAATTTAAAAAAAATAATTTTTTTTGTGAGTTGTTTGTTCTTTTACACATATAGAAGAACAAAGAAATGTTATAGATCTGTTCAATATTTTAATCGCTGCATTAGTTTTTTTACTGCAAACATATTCCTTGTCTGAACCAAAAGATCAAAGTTTAAATAATCCCACACTGTTCTAACCAGACATAAGGCAGGAATTATTGTTGACATGTTAAAGCTGTTAGTAAATCTACTATGAAAACCCTTTATCCTTTAAGAATAACGCACCAACCCTCTGCATCTGTGTGGACGATCACTGAGGCATCTTCTACAGATACTGGGATTGTATTAAAGCTGATTATAGTTTACTGTATTCTCAAACAGATTCAAGAAAATTTCATTCTGCTTCAGTTTTGGTTATTTTTCATTATTTAGGTTGTGTTTCCTTTTTTTCTTTTTTTTTTTATAAAAGAAAAAAAACCAGACACATAAGAAGAAAACCTTTCTTTATTTGTGCATAAAACGAGAGCAACGGCATCAAGACATCCAACAAGGAAACAAGGATTTAAGTTTTTCATACATTTCTTGAAATCACAAAGTTTTTGTCTGATCTGCTGTCTGAGATATTACAGTAACTTAAATAATAATAATCTAAAACCTGAATCATTTTACTGACCTAGTCAAAGAACAAATATAATCTTAAAAAAAAAAAAGATTGTATATCTTGAAAAAAATAAAATAAAAAAACGAAGTGCTGCTTCATGCATAAAAGTAAATGTTTTTTCAGTATACATTTGTTTTACTTGGGTACAGAAACAAGGCATCTTAAACACTGAGAAACTTTCTATAGGCCTATTATTCAATCTTGGAATTCTCTCATTTTCTTCCGCTTTCTACCCTCTCTTTTTATAACATCTCTTGATGTAATAGATAATAATAGATGCTGATCTGAAACAATTCTTCATATCTTCTCAACAGTATATTTCAGATTTAAAGATAAATGAATGTGTCCTTTTAAAGTAATCCACAGGAATGCATAAAAGTCATACCTATTTGATAGGGAACCTAAAAAATGACAGGGTGTTCAATAGTGAGTTTTCTTTCTAAAAATGTTAGAAAAATATATTTAATAATGGCACAAAAATATTAACATTTTCTAAATATCAAAGTAGAAAATAATCAAGTTCAAAACCATTTAGATAAAAAAATATACTAAAACTGCTGTTCTGTTTAGCATCAACCTTAGACTTGATTGAACAGGTAATATGGAAAAATATGAACAAAATCACAACAATGAGTTTGTATTGTAATTTTAATGTTTTCTTTTTTGTTTGTTTGATTTTTGTTTTATTTTATTGCAGTGTTTTTTGGGCATTTATATTTTGATGTCAACTCAGTGAGGTTTGCTTATTATTAGTATGCACTAGTGTTTAGTCAACTTTAAACCATCTTTATTCCAGGTCTTCAAATAGCAGTAAGAAAATATTTACTTAATGGTTTAAAAGCAGTTTTAAATGAATAACATAATGCAGTGTTGTTGGGTTTTTTTAGTGACATATTTTATAAACAACAACAGTCTCTACATCCTCTACTCGTGTGAGGATGAGTTACTGGGGGCTCAAACTTTGTTTTAGGGCCTTCACTGTACCAATCATTTTTGAGTTATAGTATTATCATTTTACACACAGTAAACCTGAATTAAACAGAATCTTATGCTAACAACGCATCCATTTGTTGCCAAAGGGTAGGATAAAGTCCAATTAAAAGTTGTTCATGTTAAGGTAGCTAACATTAAGCAGACCGGCATTTTGCAGAAACAGGATCTGAGCTGACTTCTTTAAATGTTGCTTAAACACCAAAGTCCTTTAGGATCTATATAACGTTTGTAGTGTGATTCCAGTTAGGAGGTAAGTTGCTCAAAGCATGACATCCACTGTCTAGGGTTAGGGTTAGGGTTGACTTTTTACAGTTCATCTGCCTGATGGGCTCAGTACCGCATATCAGCTTTGCAAACTCTCTTCTGTGGACGTACATTTTGCACTAATAGAAGGCTGCTTGTTTAGGGGAAACACAGTGCAGGTGGAAATAAAGAAAGACAAGTTTTGCACCAACTTGGATAGATTATAACTGTCTACATACAATAATGTTAATGCAGTGAGCATAATTAAAAAAACTTTTAATGATAATTTCATGAAAACGTTGATGGGTTTGTACACACACATTCATTCAAACACACAAATGCATTCAAAAAGCGACACAGCTCCTTGGTTAAAGAACTGTTTGATGAAATCACAAACCGAAGAATTTTTGGTTAGTTAAGGTTAGAAAATTAGTTTATTAGTAGGTTAGTTTGTTAGTTTGCAGAGCTTCTGAAAGCTCCTCTGGTTAGTAACATTTACATTGTTTTTTTAGAAGATAAAAAACTAAACTAAATGTTAAAAACACAGCTCAGATAGCCGATGCCTGAGATAGGGGGGAAAGCCCATGGAGAGTCATATAATAAGCATCACCAATACCACAAAGCATGCTTTAGTTAATGTTAAATCAATCAGACAACAGAAAGATGTTAGTAAGAGTGGCAGATGGGCCGATTCAGCCTCCATATTGTTAGTACGAACACATTAGGGGTTAGTTACCACCTCCACGGGCAAAGGCAGGGTTGACCACACAGCACAATCAGAGAGCAAAAAACTGCTCTATAAGATTCCAATTTAGCCTGAAAAATGCAAACATTTGGAAGCAGATTAGCCTATTTTTAGCTGCAGTATGGGGTCAACCAATTTTGACCTCTTCTTATCCTCAGGTTTTCAACAATCCTCTTCCCAAGTCCTGAAATCCTTCTTTCCATGCTCGATTTGAGATATCTGAATCAGACACCTCTTAAAAGAAGGAATACAGGATCAAAGAAGAGAAGCGTGCTTCTAAGACAGCTAATATAAAGCAGAGAGAGAAGTTAGTGGGTTAGAAATGCAAGCCGTCTGCATTCTGCACACAGGTTAGTAATCCTTCAACTGTTAGCAGACATTAGTACTGTTAGACGACATTAGTTAGATCCTGTTAGTGCAAAAAAAAAAAAAACAGATCCTGTTAGTGCAATCAAGGCGTGGGTAAAAGGCTATTTACACATCATTATTAGCATTTGCCTTAATTTGCTTAAGTGTTAAATGATGGGGCTGCTGGCACAGAAAGGGTTCGGTGTATGCCAGCAGGCATCATTCAGAAAACGGCACCCAACAAATTTCCAATAACATCCTTGTGATCTAAATCACAAGTAGGACTGCTGCTTTAATGAGGTTGTTACAAATGCTAAGAATCATCAGTAAATAATGTTTTATCCCTTATCTTGTACATCCAGTGGTTAAAAAGGATTGTAGCTGCAGTTTCGCGCCCATTAAAGATACATCTTATCGGACCGATGAGACACACGTGCAAACACACTGCCATAAACACGAATGGAGCACATGCAGAGAAACACATGCACTCACCCACACTCACACTCACACTACAGAGCTGTAGTATAGTAAAAATAGTTGGTTTCACATTAAACTTGGGAGCTTTCACAACAAACAGAAATGTGTGATTTACACATTTTTAGAAGGTGGGAACATCAGCCATTTTCACACACTGGCACATATTTTTGTTCATACAGGCCTCAACTATATATAAAAAAAAAAAAACTTCATCGGTTTGAATATGGCAACACTTCAAGCTGGTTTTCAAATAAAAAAAAAAATTCACAAAAGGTAATTTCTGATCCAAAGAAATGGAAATAAGAAAGGGTTTGATTAAAGCTATAAAACAAAGCATTTAAAAGAGCAGCAAATGATTTCCAATGAAGTGCCTTCCAGCTAAAAGTGATTAAACAGATAATGATGACACTGCAACGGCTGCATGGTTATTTCTTTTCTGCCGATGAAGCAGCAGCGGAAGTCATCTCTTGGTAGTGAAACAATCTAAAAAGAAAATATTCCCTCTGTGGGAGCAGCATGGCTCCAACGGCACCGAGTCACAGCCACTGCAAGAGAAACAAACCAAACACAGCAAATAAAACTTTATTTTCTTTTAAAGGTCCCATAGGGACATCTTTATCAATAAGAATACTAATGAAAAGTATTTTTGCATAATTCAACCTTCTGCAGTAAAAAAACAAAGATTTATTACATACAGAATGATATTTTAAGCATCTAATAACTTAAAGTATTTTGAAGAGTTGGAGGTAGTTTTGCTTCTTGCATTATCTGACCCAAACTACCAGGAATGTCAACCTGGACTAAGGAGAGACTGGATGGCTGATTGTAAAATTGATCATTTACACTTTTTAAACTGAATTCCTGAAATAAATAATTACTTGGAATAAATAGGATCCAACTGTATAGTAGAGGCATCCCTGCTGTTACATGAAATGTGTCGTCTGAGATAATTCAACCTAATGTTGAATAAATAAATCTGAGAAGCAGATAAACTTAATCAGATTTGATGATGCTCTTTGCTTTCATGCCGGTTTATCTCAGCTTTAAACTGTGATCCTACAGAGGACAGCTGCAAATGAACACAAACAAGTCAGCAATTTGACACATCCCTAATCTCTGATTGCTGCTCATGTTTCCACTAACGCAGCAGCTAAACACAAATACGCTTAAATGTGTCTGAGAGCCAAAGAGATATGGGTTAATAAAGACTAAGCTATGTGATTAAAGTCATCTAGACAACAGGAAATGCAGTAAGTGTATAAAAATGATCAGGGCAAATAGAAGTTTTATCAGCATAAATCTGGTGGATTCAGTACCGTTCCGTAAGGCAGCAGAGAGCAGGAGGTGGAGCAGCGTCAGCTGGGGTATAATGGGGTCTTGTTGACTCCAAATCTGCTTTCTTTCATCAGTGTAACTGGAGAAGGGACACACGAGACAAAGCAGCAGAAAAGTGGAACGCAACTCAGCTGTCCTATAAACATCTCCGAAAGGATCAGGTTCCTATAGATGCTGCATTTTATTCTTTCATATTAGAGCATTTAACTACACCTTAATGAAAAAAAAAATATATATATATAATGATAAATAGCAATTGACCAATAAAGAATGCCCTCCTTTAGCTATTTTAACAAAGATAACACATAACCTGCCCTGATGATGGCTCCTCCCAGGTCCTGTTTGGTATCAGCAGCTCAAGCAGTGACTCCAGCTGATATGACACACCTCACCTAAAAAAGAAGCAATTATATCCTAATCAATTTGAGCCTTTGTTTCTCTGCACTTTCTTAATGCCGTTGGCCACTTCACCAGAAAATAAAAAAATGTTCTGCAGTGAATCCCATCAAAGTGTTCTGCATTTAAAAAATACTTGTGATTTTCAGAAAAGCACTCAGATTTGGTCACATTCCATTAAATAGCAGTAAGACACTATCTCACTTAAAGCCCTTTAGGTAGCAGTAGGAAGCTTAGAGTGGATTTGCTGCCACACAGAGGCGAAGGGATGGTTACAGCAATGTGATGGAGGTAAGCACTTTACACCAACAGTAACAGTAAAGTTAAAACAGACAGACAGACAGACAGACAGACAGACAGACAGACAGACAGACAGACAACTTTCCAAAGCAGTTGCAGGAACTAAAATGAACTAAAATCTATGCTGAGTTCTGAAGCCACATGCAGGAAAAGCTGGCATGGCTGGCCAACCAGACACAGCTCTTTCTGGGAAAATAATACAGCCTCATTATCTGACAAGGATGCTTAATAAAAAAAAAGATTGTTTACAGACCCCCGAAATGCCGGCTTCGTATGGATGAGAGGCTGGTTTGGTGAAAAATTAGTGAATTTAGGCCAGGGTTTGACTTCGTGTGGACGGGGCCTGAATCTGCTGGTGTGCATGGCATTTTACCCTTCTTATTCTTCTAGATTTTTTTTTTTTTTTTTACTAAATGAATCAAGACTTCTCAAATCGCAATTAGGTCTTTAATTAATGCATATGTCCAAATTTAAATAACCCATTCCAGGTTTGACTTCTCAATAAGCATTTTAAATTTCAAAAACAGTCTTTTTAAAACTATAATGCAATCATTTCATTTAGAACTGAGCCTATAGCTTTAAAGGGATCAGAAAAAGCTTCATAACACTCATAACCTATTACATTGCTAATACAATCGAAAACACTAGTGATGTCTTCTCCCTTCTGAAACTAATAACCAATAAAATCGAATCTACAGTAAAAATGCCCGGTGTTGATTGCTGTTCATGAAGGGTAATTTGTTTTTTGGGGGGGTGAGTGGCCTGCCCCTCAACTGAAGGACATCAGAGCTGGGGAGTTATATCAAGAACCACCTGGGGGTAATGAACAGTTACTCAAAAAACAGATTAATTTAAAGTTACAAGGAGGTTGAAATATAACAGACAAAGTTGAATTAGCCAGATTACTATGAGACTTAATAATCCTATCACACTGAAAAAATTCATTTGTGTGAATACAGAGATAATTTACTTGATACTACAAATGCTTTAGAGTATGATGATTTAGTTCTAAATGAACGTCATAACATGTTCCTGTCCCAAAATACAAGTTACTAGGTGGGGGTTAGGGCCCTATAGAAAAAGATTAGTTGGTTTTTGCCTAAAGGCCAGCTCTTTTAAATAAAACAACATGTTTTGTATTTATTTTATCTTGGACAGGTATAGTTTTTTGGAAAATATTTCTATAAATGTAACTAAAACTGCCAATCAGAACACATATAGGCCATTTAAATCAAGAAAGTCTCCTCAGCCTTAATATGTTTAAAATAAAAACCCAGAATTGTTCAAATAGTTTGGTAAATAAATATGAATATAGATTGAATTATAGGAGTATTTTCCATACCAAAGATCTTCAGGTTCCACCTGCATCATAAAGGGTGTGAGGAGATCATGGCTTCTTTCCCCTTCCATCCTGGAGGCAAGCTGTTCAACATGCGCATCCCCAGCGCGTTTATCTGCCTGCGCCACATAAAGAAGGTCTCTTCTCACACCGAGTCTCCTGCTTCTCAGCAGCTCAGCGTCCTCTTCATGGCCGCCGAGCTGAAACAAGCAGCTGTGGGAGTGCCAGCAGCAGCTGTGCACTGACGGGGAGACGGCACACCAGTTCAGGGAGAAAATCAGGACAAAGTGGAGCAGAAAAGCTGTGGACAAAGATGATGAAGCGATGGTCTGAATGAGAACAGAGACTCCTTTGAATAACTGCGCAATCCTGGGAGAATGGGTGCTCTCGATCTGCAGCTGCTGCTACAGGTTTATGGTCTTTTGTATGCAACCCCCTTATCCACCATCTGTGTTTCCTGGGCAACAGAGGATCGCCTGCAGGCACCGGATAATGCACCGCAGCCACCTCAAATCATCACATTGTTACTGCACTGTCATTTTTCTACCAGGTGATATCAGGCTATATGATGGCCTCTAATCATCTTTGCACAATTATTCAAATTAAACATTATAGCAAAATTATTTATAGAAGAATAATACACTTTAAAAACTGCGGGGTTGAAACGAAATCACTTTGAGTTCTTTCTGCAACCCAGCCTTGGGTCAGATGAACCCAGGCTGGGACTGGTAATCTGTGGGCCGGTCCTAATTTCAGCATAGGAGGGCTGGGGCCCTCCTTAAATCATACTGGCCCCAACACTTACTCTCAAGCCAAAGCTCTGGTAGTAAATAACTCAAGGGGCTCAAGAAGTAATATAATGTTAACTTCCTAAATTATGCATATAGCCCTTCCTTGTGATACACATCCTTGTGACGGTTGGCGTATGGTGAAATTTTCTATTTCTTCAAACTGTAAAATCCTTGCAATGAACTAAATTGTAAAAAAAAAAAAACTAAAATGCTTTCTTTAAACCAAACTAAGGTGTTCTTCTTATATTTGGCGAATTTATGTTCGAATATTTTGCAAAAATATGTTGCAGTGCATGATGGGGTTTTGCATTTGTTTACATGATTCCTTTTCATTGCCCACATGCCACCTAGACTCGCAGTCGAGCTTACACGCCGCTGAGCTTTCATGTATTCATTCTTGAAGAACTGCCTGTCTGCCTCTATATTGCATTGTTTTATGCTGGTGTTTTTACAACGCTCGGGCTTACGTTGTAGACCTAGACCCATGTGTGAGTGGGTGTCTGGCTGGCTTTGTGCTAGTGTCGACGTTACGCAGCAGCAGTCACTGTTGCATCCATATTAATAACCAAAGCCAGTAAAACCCAGTGGACCGGTGTAGATGAAAAAATGCCAGGGCCAAAAATCTTTCCCATTCCGAGCCTGAATGGACCCCTGGGTTATTTTAACACAATGGGATTGAGTTCTACTTGGGGAGGGCTTTACCTAAGCAATAAGCTTAAAGTAATAATTGTCTTATGCTTTGGATACCAGAGTCTGGATTGAACGGAATAGACACGCCAAGACTCCTAAACAAGTCAAACATCTGGATCATTTTAAAGATTCTTGCAGAGGTTATTGTGCTTATCTCAAGTAAGTAAATGGCAGTAGATGATACACCCTTGACCCTCTGCTTTATCACATGGCAACAGACCCCAACCACTGCTGTTTGCACACAGCTGATGACTTAGAGATCAATTACAGTTGATCAATTTACATTAGACTTGTTAGTCAGTCTTAAAGTAGCTTTTAAAACATATGTAAAAAAAGAAATGTTTTCATTAAGCTCACATTTTTGTTCTTAAAGTGTTTTTTTTACATAATAATCTAAAAACTATTGTTTTCATTAGCTGTACTCCTTCAATAATTATCGTAATCAACTGTAGGCATGAAAACATTAATATATGTGAAATATTCTAGACAATGAACTGAGTTACCAACATAATTCAAACTCTCAGCATTATCAAATGTGCCTGTATATGGATCTGCCCATACAAATGTTCTTGTTTATCTAAAACAACTATATTGGCATAAGATCATTAAATGTGGTTTGCTTCCTGAGCAGTGATTCAACTATTATTGACGGCATAGGTGATGTCACATATTTGAAGAGTTACCCATTTAATTTACCCATTATTCTAAAAACGTATGGAGCTGACATGTGAAACCAGTACTTATATTAGCCATTAACAGATGTAGTGTAATGATAGTCATAATAAAATACCAGTCTACCTGCTCTCCTGAGCTTAACTCTTAGATCTCCAAACCCAACTTAGATGGTCAGAGGAGCCTGCGGGCGGAGTAGGCGGCGGTTCAACATGAGAGAAGGGATCAGCTGATCCGTGTTGGAGGTAGGACAATTAACAGTCTTTCTAAGGCTAAATTAAAACAGCTTTTTAAAAAGCCATTCAGACCTCCTTAAAGAGCATTCCCTGCATTATCCTTTATCAACATTATTTTCTGTCTTCCATTTTGATTTAAAAAAGCTAATCTCTGCAGCCTCCTTCACTAAAACAGTAGTTAATTCATGACATTTTCTCATCTCCTAATTCATATACTTGTCACTGTACCTGAGACAAATATATTGAAGAATTGATGGATTTAATGCTGTGATCTAATGTAAATAAAACTTCACCATCAAATGATAATTTAGACAAAGCAGACGTCTTGGAAGCCCTTTTGTACCATGTCAGCCTCCGTATTGTTTGAGGGGGAGACAGTGTGGGGCTACAGCTTAAAGCTATATTGTAGATTTAAGCTTTATTTCTCTGTGTGGCTAAAGGCCTATATCGTCAGGATGAGTGGAGGCTTTGAGGACTCAAATGCAGAGAAGAGTAGTGAGAGGTGAGTTTTGCTGATTTAATGAAAAGTCCAAGAACAACAGAGGCAAAAATCAAAAATACTGAAAACCAAACAAAATCCAATAAACGTCAGGAAACAAACATGAGGGGAGCAAAAGATGAGGAAGCAAGAAAACAATAAGAAACCAGCACTGAGTGAAGGCTCTGCTGCTCTTTAAAGCCCAGCACTCTGATGAGACTGATGAGCTCCACCTGTGTAGACTGCCCAGGTTCTCCACCAAGATCTTCTCTGGAGAGATGCATCACTCACTCACACACACCCATGCATGCACACACACAAACATGGGAGCTGTGACATATAAACTTTGAAAGAACTGATAACTTCATTCTGTGCCTTGTATGAAAGAAGATAATTACATAATTTGGTTGACAAAAAATGGATGATAACATCTCAAGATTTTTTTAACAGCCATATAGTCAGAGGCGTAACCAGAAAAGTTTAATATGGGTGGCCAGGCAATAACCAATGTATACTGAGGGGTGGGCAAAAGCGGACAGGCAAAAGAACCTTAGGGTCAATCTAAATTGTTCCAACAGGAACACTCAAAAAAATCCATATTCCTAAATAATGTCAAACTATAGTTTCCTACAGCCTTTGATAACAAATAGATGCATATATTTAAACATCCTTCTAGATAAAAGCTATATTGGATAAAATTCTTTGAGGTTTGAGTCTTTTCCATTGTCATTACTTACCTACTGTTATCAATATCATTCTACATAAAATTTATATTTACAAGTACTAACATCTACATAAATTGATAATTTAATAGGTTTTTGTTAAAATAGTTATTTACAGTATTTATAATTTCACTGAAGACTCTTGACTTCCAGAGAAACATCATTTTCTCTTTACGGCATTATAACACAAAATCTAGCTCTGAAAGAGCATGAATTCTGTACTATTCATCTCTAATGTTGGTATATTGATGTGCACAATTAACCAGTGTTTTTGTTGTCAAGTAATTTTTAATATATATAAAATTAAAATGTTTTGAATATTCTACTTGAGAGAAAAAAATAGTAGGGGTGGCCAATGATTGGCTAAGGGTGGCCATGGCCCCCCATGTATCTCCTCCCCTGCATATAATTTAAAAAGTGGACCTCATGTTTTGTTAAACCATTCTGGGTTATGTTGCAAAATTCTGATTACGGTACATTATGTAGATTATTCTTAAGAATGAGCACCCTGAAATGAGCGTTTACCTTTCCTGTCCCTCCCCTATTAGAAAAAAAGTTTAGCTTTATCGGGCTACATTAATTTCCGTTTCACGAAGCAGGTTTAACAAACTCAGATTCAAATCCTCAACTCATGCCTTAAAAATTGATCTAGCCTAATATCGTGAACTCTAAGTGTTCAGTTTCACAACAGCTGCTATGAATTAGTTCAATCAACTCTAAATAGGTCCAGTAAGACTTAAGCTCGTGCGTGACAAGATTAAAAAGCCATCATCAGGGGAGCCCAGAATTGATGAGTCACCATGACAACAATTAAGCCAAAGGAAGATCTCCCTCGGCTTATTTCACACCAGTGGAACTGGAAGTTTTAATGCAGGCATACGGTGAGTTTGAGCATATTTTTTAAAAGAAAGAGCAACACCTCCACAGCTGTATAGGACAAGGAGATGGCATCTGAGAAAACCACTGCCCAAGTTGATGCATAAGTTTATATGAAGACGGTCATAATCATGATAGCATTACAGAGAAAGCTATTTTATGGTTTGAATAGTCATAGTCTTTGAGGAACCAAATTACACAGTAAATACTGAATGGATGTTTGACTATGCTTTTTTTCCCTTTCTTTCTTTTTTGTCACTATGCACTTTGTGCTCTCACTGATATCGAGTTGTTCAAAAGGAAGGGAATTTATAAAAACTAACAGACCTCTTCCCAGCCAACAGAAAGAAGGCAGAGGCCCATAAAAGTTGCTGTTCCAACACCTCCACAACTAACGCAGGCAGAGGAGCTGGCCCTAAGCCGGAATGCAGGAAGGCCAGCAGCTGAGGGAATCATTTGAGCTCATCCTGTGAGCCCTCCTTCCAAGACACAGGGGTCAGATGCTTCATTATAGATACAGTCATGGGAAGAAATATTAGACTACTGTTCCCAGTTTAATGTTCATTCAAATCCTTAATACTGTAAATGTGTATTTGTTTGGATAAAAGTGGTCCTTGAAGATAACCAACATTTCTTAATGCATTTCTGAATGCTGCTCCAACTTAAATGAATTGCTTCAGTCGGTAGAAATTAATCAGATTAATTTGATCCAACCCAATTTATTTAGTTCATTATTTACCAAGTGACATAACTTAAGCTGCGTAAATTTAATCAAATTACTTGTTACCAAGTGGAGTAAATAAATGATGATGGGGCTGCATTCACTTTTTACAGTGTACCATCCATAGCTGTGCATGGTACAGCTAAAAGAGGCTTTAAGGGGGTTGCATTTACTGCCCAAGTCAAATAATAAACACTGGCATTACCAAATGATGAACCAAAAAGATATTATTATAGCTTAATAGGGAAGAATGGTGCAATCTTATATTTCCCCCACGTCTTTGTCCACTAGTTAGTAGCATATACATCCAAGTATTTATTTCCCTTTCATGCCCCCTTTTCCTTTCTGTCCTAACAGATATCGGTGGTAAAATATTTCTAATGGAGCCCCCTCGTGCCGCAACAGACATTTCATCTGTAAGCATGCAATACTCCAATGATTTCTCAAAATTTGCATAAAACCCATACTGAAATATGTCCATCCTCTAGGATGAAGACAAAATGTCTTTGGCCTTCACAGAGGGGTATACAGGGTGGCTGCATATTACTATTAATTAATTGTCATTCCTTATCAGTCTTGTAGAATATAGTGTGACATTCAGCCTCTACTGAGGTATTAACATATTTCAATCCTTGTTAACAGAGTGTAGCTGGCCTGCAGCAGGAGGGACCCACAACTACTGCAGAGATTGACACAGTGAAATAGATGCGCAATAAGCAAGAGGGTCATTCTGGGTAATTTGCATGCATTAATTTACACTTTCTTTATCCCCAGCTACCTGTTAGAGAAGTGTATAAGATCTACTTCTTAAAGAAAAGTGAAAAGATGGATAAAGAAATATTTTTACCTGGACTGCCAAAGTAGAAAGGCCGTCCTGGAGCATAAGTCCTAGGTTTTTGGAAGGATGCAAAACCTAACTTCTGTATGTATATTTATAGGAAATAAAGACAAAGTAGAATGTATGTCATGGTTCTTTTTATTTAAGCAGGGGGGATGACGGTGAATTATACTGAGAAGTGATCCTTGCATACGGCGTCTCTCACTTCCCTCCCATCCTGGTTGGCTGGTAGATGCAGGGGTTCGTCATCAAAGTCTTCCATGTGTAGGGCAGGGTGTTGTTCCCCTCTAATAATGGCAATATTGTGAAGAACAACACAAGCTGCAATTATATCCCTGGCCCTCTCAGGGGTCACCCTGAGGTAATGTAGGCACTGGAAACGGGCCTTCAATAGGCCTATGGTCTTATCCACCCGGGCTCTGGTTTTGCAGTGAGCCCGGTTGAAGTTCTGTTGGGGACCTGGTTCTGGGTCAGGGTAAGGGGTCAGCAGCCATGGCTGGCAAGGGTAACCCCTGTCTCCCAGCAAATACCCATCAAACTCTCCTGTAATGTATAGTAGATACATTAAAAGGACAGGAACCAGTGAGACGTATTCAGTGGTATCAGAAGTAAACACATTTGTTACTTAAGCAGAAATATAGATACTGCAGTTTAAAAACACTCTGGTAAAAGTTGAAGTATCAACTTGACCTCTTTACTCAAGAAAAGTGAAAAAGTGTGTGCTCCAAAAAACTACTTAAAGTATAAAAGTGTAAAGTAACCTTTAAAAAAAAAAACAGCCAGATGCCACTATATGAATTGAAAGCCCAATTTTTCGACTATTTTGAAAAAAGATTTTAAGATAGGGCCAAGGATGAGGGATGTTGGTCTCAGTCTCCATCTCCCAAATCGCTCTCGCCTGTGTCCGACCTTTCAAACATTTCAACATCTTTTTCTGAATCCGACATTGCAGCATGGCATAGACAATTCGCGTTTGTAGTTTGAAGAACACCTGCTTGCTTCTGATGATTTCCTTTAGCTAACCAATTAGTGTTTGCTTTATATGACTCATCAATTACACTAGTTTTGACTAGATGTGGATGGCGCCAATGATATGCATTGGATGGCGCACATGACGTAAAATAAATATTTATAAACATTAAACCGAAGCCAAGAGTAAAGGGCTGGTTATACTCCCTGCCGCAGTGTGTCGCAGTGAGCTTGACGAAGACATTTTTGATTTATGCTCAATTTTGAAGCGTGGTCTGTGCTATGTTATATTCCACGCCACAACGCAAGAGAATCAGGAACTAGCTGTGGGTCTAGATAGGCAGTGAGGAAGTGGGGGCAAGTTTGTCCGACAACAGAGGGACATGAGGGCGAAGAAGAGCAGGGATCCAGGTGGAAATAGGGTCCCAGCTTTCTCGCACACCTCGCTCTTCTAGCTGGTCAAACTTCACAAGTTGTTTTCTGCAATTCCGGTAATACAAACAAAGCAAGCGGGCCTCCTATCTGCTGTCACCTACAATTTGGGAGAGGTGCAGCAGAGTGTCTGCGGAGGGAGCGGGGATGTCTTTGCATTCACTGCGACACCTACGCAAACGACCTAGTTTCAAAGTATAAATCAGCCTTAACGAGTAACGTTTGTTTTAAAAATGTAAGGAGTAGAAAGTACAGATACTTGTGTGAAAATGTAATTAGTAGAAGTCAGAAGTAGGAAGAAAAATAAATAATGGAGTAAAGTATAGATGCCTAAAAAGTGTACTTAGAAGGGAACACTGTTTTTTTTACATTGGGCCCTTGATTTTACGTTATTACATATTGTTAATAATTTATTCTTTATGGTACACCAGCATTCATAACATGTAGGCGAATCACTGTCCCCCAGACATCCGCAGTTATATATTTTATATTTATTTATTTTTTTTAAACAAAGCGGAGTGTGTATGACATCATCCGCGCGCGCCGGCTACCGTTCATTCATCCTGTCCGCTGAACTGCTGCTAGTTTTACTCACATGCCTGGAAGATGTCTAGTGCTGCTACCACAGATGATCTCGCGCTCCAAATGGAATTGAACGATTCAGATTAGCTCGCCGAATGAATAGAAGGGGTAGACTGTAGCCGCCTGTGGCCCGGGCTTCCTGTTACAACTTCAGTCCGGCCTTCAACTTGTTGCCCATAGGAAGACATTACTTGGATTTAACCTAACGGAATATCTTTTGGAACAGCTCCAAATGACACAAAACTCATATGAGTAGAACATAATGTAATAACATCAAATCAAGGGGTCAATATAAAAAAAAAACTTGTTCCCCTTTAAGTACTGCAACAAAGTATTTGTACTTCATTACTTGACACCTCTGGCCATATTGTGCTAAACTTTAGGCTACTTACCACCTTGTAGTCTGTTGCGGAGGTTAGATTCCTGAAATATTTTTGAATCATGGACCGACCCAGGCCACTTTGCCTCAACGTTCGAGATTAAACACCCAGCATCACAGATTATCTGGACAGAGCAGAGAATGAAAGATGTTTAACTCTAAGGCAACCTTTAAGATCTTGGAACAGTAGTCAGTAACTCTACCTGCACATTGATGCTGTGAATAGAGTGCCTATTCACATAATCAGCTTCATTATGTGAGGGAGCTTTGATGGGAATCTGGGTTCCATCTATGCATCCAATAACGTTTGGAAATCCTTAAGTGGAGGAATAGATGTTTAGGTTATTCAGAAAGAAATTATTTCTAAGGCATATAATGGATTATTCACCTGCAATTCTGTGGAACTCCTCCTTGATGGATTCGATGGGTTTATTCCCAGGGAAGTGAACAAAGTTGGGTAACAGTCGTTTGAGGGCCAGGCACACCCTGCGCACCGCTCTGGACACCGTCGCCCTGCTGATGTGCTCAGCTTCTCCCACGTTGTACAGGAACGAGCCGTTGGCCAGGAAACGCAGCGCCACGCACAGAAGCTGCTGGGACGTGAGAGCGAGACTCCGGCGCGTAATGTTGCTAATGTGTGGATGAACCAGGTCGTGGATGTATGTGATTGATTGTGAGGTGAAACGGTAGCGCTCATAAAGGAAACTGTCTGAATGGGAGAGGACGTCTATGCGCGGTCTGAGAATCCTCTGCCGACGACAGATGAGTTCTCTGCGGATTAATGCCGCTCCTTCATCTATTGGATCCTCGTCAAAAGGACACGCCATGTTTAACGCTTACTGCGTCTAAAATAAACGGGCTTTCATTTATTGTTTGCACAGACCTACCAGCGCATTCTGATTCAATCAGGAAGTGAGTGAGTGGCTTAGAGGGCGGAGACACGGTACACTCAGGGTTCATTGAAAAACCAGCTGCCAACCATGTTAGATCTGGAGAGAATGTTACCATGGTAACCCAAACAGGGGGAGGAAACTCTCTTTGTGAAACTCAAAAACTCTGAGTTTTCCTCATTTCAGTTTCAGACAACTTAAGAGCTTTCAGTAAATCTGCTTTGTGAAACGAACCAGTGGCGTAACTATCGATAAGCAGAGACTGCAGTTGATTAGGGCCCCCCGACCTCTTAGGGGCCCCATCACAGACATCAGGGTGTCTCTCTATGCTATAGTGGACTAGGGCGTCTCTTTGCAGATGTAATAGTGCGAATAATTCCTCTTAAACCCACCTGATATTAAGATGACTAATCACACCTTATTTATACCGCAACGCATGCCAGATTTCAACATGATGATGAGCCATTTAAATACGACACCAATAGCAAAGCAGACAGTGGTACTTTTAATTACTATGTTAACTGTGTATATATTAATTGGACGGCTGGTAAAAAATACTCTCCTATAATATGTTTCAAACAGAAATAAAGATCTTAAAAGAACAATGTATTTGAGTATTTTATTTCTTACAATACGACTTGGAATTATGGGTAATCCACAGTTTAGATTATAACCATATCTGTTATGTACAATGTGTAAGCGACGATGGATACCAAAAAGAGGTACTTAAGCAGAAAAGAAAAAGGAAAGATGAGCTGCTGGAAGAACGGAAAAAACTTCCCAAAATACAAACGTTCTTTGAAAGAACCGAAGAGGGAGAGGTGGACCGTTGCTTCTACAGTGAGTAAAGATTGTGACCAGGAGATGAAGCTGAAGGTAGCCCGATAAGACTCATTTTACAGCAGAATATACTAAAGTATATCCATGTGTAGTGAAGGTGAAGAATGTGTTCCTCATTGGGGGCATGTTTGTTTAAAATTACCATGGGCGTAGGTTTGCATAGGGACCATAGGGACATGTCCCTACCAAAATTTTGAACCGACCTAATTGTCCC